GATTTCAGGAGTTAAAGTTATTTTTCTACTTATCATCAGTATTATTTTGCTTTTATAATGGAAAAGTTCAGTATGACTATTTGTCTGTGTTTCATTAACAGCTCCATGTATCAGTATTAACCAGCTCTTATGCATGCATCATAGTCATAATATTCAGCTTTGAGTCAACTAGTAGTATTTCTTGTCTTCTTGGTGAAATGTGCATAAATTGATTGCAGAGATAAGTGTCATCCTGGAAACTATAGATAAGATGCTAACTGCATGTCTACTTTCAGTTAGAAACACCTGAAAATAACAACACACACACTACTTATTCGAACATTGTAGAATATTTGCATGAACCTTGTGTCCAGTTCATGTTGTGAGTGTAGAGCCAACAGATTAGAAGATAATGAGTTCATATTTGTATGAACCTTGAGTCAACAGATTAAAAGATAATATGAGTTTCACCCATGTTCAGGGCAGTCCCAGCCCGAGAAGATAAATGTGAATTACTTCCTATTATCAGAGCTCTTGGGACTTGTCATCTCATAGAGCCCAGCGTTGTAATAACTCTGCATTTAACCATAAGAAAATAAATCTACGTAAAGCTGATTCTTGTTTCCTGAGTGTTACTTCTTGGGGCCTTCAGATAAAAGAACCGGTTGAATCTAAAAGTGGTCATCGCTACTGTGATGCACCCACGGGCGCGTGTTTTTTGCCACGCGTGGCTGAGGCATGTATGTCTCATTATCCAACATGCTATCCAGCAGACGTCACAATTGTGCTGGAGGAGGCGAGGCCATAAGCAATATTTGTACTCTCCTTCTTCTTGATATTATTCATATCATTATTTATTTATTTCGATTGCACATTAACTGGTACATCGCTACACACATGCTATCACAAGCCGCATCCATTTTTATTTTCGCAAACACAGTACGCTGCGTCTGACGTCACGTCCTCTTCTGCACATGCAGGTCACCTCAGGGCCATATACCGTTCACACATGAGACAGATGGCAGTCGCAAAAAAATTGTATTTCGGCAAAAAATCCGATCTGAGCATTAAGACCTGCAGTGTGAATGTAGTCTTAGAGGGCGAAGCCTATATGAAATAGAACGATGGTTACGTACAGTAACCCAAGCTTTTATGAGTATAGTTGTATCCCTTCAGGACTGCGCATGTGCGAGGGATAAACCCAATCGCAACAGCTCTTAGAAGGCTACGCCTATACTCATAGAAGCTTGGGTTACTGTACATAACCATTGTTTGTTGTTGTCACTTTTGTGTGTGTGTGTAAATATACATATATATATATATATATATATATATAGTATAGCACAAATAAATCTGTTTGCATCATTGTCAGCCTTCTGGGTCTGTTCTTTTTCGCTCACTCATTTCCCTGTGTGTGAGCGTTCCCTAACACTTCGAGTAATTTTATATATTTTAGTGATATGTTTGATGTATTCTGAAGTGTGTTTGTTGTACAGGGAGCCAAAAACAGTAAAGTAAATTGAACTGATAATGGTGTTTCTCAGGGATCGATATTAGGCCCTTTGTTTTTTTTACCTGGTATATAAATATTTTCCAGCTGAACATTGTAATGACCCTGACGCTGGCTTGTTTGCCATCAGCAAAAATCAAAGAGTCAAATTGGTTTCTCTTGCTGAAATAAGTTAATTTCTGCCCTAATGCCAAGACACTTAACTTCTTTAGAGTTCAGTGATCACAACCGAGTCTGGCCTTAACAGCTCTGCACTGGTATGGACTGGTTCCCAAGCACTGGGGCAGACTGGTTCTAGACCTCACTGCTGGAATGAGCTATAATGCACCTTCAAGTTAGAGGCTTATTCCTATGACATATTTTAAAATTAGTTATATTGCTGATGCTAATGTGATTATTTTAACCAGTGTTATGTCTGTAGGCTGAACAAGCTACAATTTTTATTTGGTGCACTGGACTCAGAATGTCAGAGCCCATGGATGGATACACTCTGAAGGAGCTTTGTCAGTGTGACAAACAATTATGTTTTGAGCCAGGGGCCCCGGGCCAAGGCATGCATATGCGCCGCCATCACAGGCAGTCCACATATCACTTCGATACACATATCACTTCAATATGTGGACTGCAGGCACTAAGATTCGAACCTCCAACCTTCCGGTTGGGAGATGACTACTCTACCCACCGCACCGCTGTCGCCTCCCCAAGAAGCAGACACTGGCCAGGAATAGTTCTATAAGAACTTTAAAACAGAACGATCACTAAGGGTTGAACAAAAAGAGCTCGACCTGAAAGTAAGCGACAAGGAAAATAACTAAAACTACAACTCTCGGTGCCGGCAGTCCACGTGTCGAAATGTCTTTGGGCAGGACACTGAACCCCCTCGTTGCCCCTGATGGTTAGAGCCATCGGTTGAGGTGGCGCCGCAGATGGCTGCCATCGGTTCTGTACTGGAAACAAATTCCTTGTGTGTAACATACTTGGCTAATAAAGGTGATTATCCTTAAAAAAAAGTCTATTCAGGTAGCTCTGCAGGAAAATGCAAAAAGTACCAAAACCAGAAAACACAAATCTAGGAAGACTTACAAATAGTAGTCCAAAGAAACATACCATGGAAGAGGACACGGCTGGGAGCCAGATTCAGAACATACTATGCGAACAGGTGAGAATATATGGGCTAGAGAACTGAGGATAAGGAGCAACAGGTGGAAACAATGAGAGGTGATTGTGAACTATGGTAAAGCTGGGGCAGAAGTGGTGATAAATAATAGTAATTCAAACCAAAATAAAAGCTGAGGAACAGGAAGCAAGTCCAAACCATGAGACTCCCTGTCAAAATAAAGCCTAATTCACTAAGCTAATTAATTTATGAAAAACACAAATGTCTAAACCTGGATGCCTGCATTCTTAAAGTAAACATTATCAGGATGTGTGGGCGGTGCTTGTTCTCATGGTGTTATGTTGTCTGTTCTTTATTGCTGCTTGAGGTACTGAAATTTATCAAGATATGTGTGTGGTGTTTGTTTCTCGTGGTGTAATGTTTGTTCTCCATTGCTGCTGAAACACTGAAATTTCCCCATTGAGGGATCAATAAAGTACCTACCTACCATTTATGACCTGCTGATTTGGCACATGAGCGTTTTATGAGTGAACACAGGTGAGAACAGGAGGGGTGAGGCTTCAGGTGTGTGCATAGTGATGTCGTCACTGACCTGTTGTCTGCTGGTTGCCTGAAGACCGACACCAACAACCTGTGGAGGAGGAGGTTGTCGCTGACATACCTGAGACACAGTTAATATAGGACATATGATTGGAAGGTGCATCCTCTCAGGCAGAACACTTGTATGACATAAGATAATCCTTTATCATTGTAACACATACAACGAAATTTTAAAGTGGCCTCCAGTCAGTACAGCAATACTGTTGCTGCTGCTGTACCATACACATATACAGTATGTAAGGATGCTCTCAATGGAGCACCGACAGAAGGACACTAGCAGTCTCTTTATGAGCACTTGTAGAAAGTACAGCCTCTGCTGGGCCTTTTTAAGCAGACATCGCAGCAGATCAGACATCACGTGGTGTGGCTGTAAAATCTTTCCACATTTTTAGCTGGAAAAATAATCTACTTTTCATTTTCTTGTTTTAAATACTTTTCAGGTCTGAAATTAGACTTTTGATACAAATTTTTGTGTCTGGTTGTCACCCCGACAAAGGGCTGTTTGAGGGCTCAGACCCGGTTTCAGGGTCCAGGTTAGAACCAGGTTTAGTGTTAGGATCAGGGTAAGGGGCTGTGTCTGTGTGTGTGTGTGTCTCACAGTTTAAAGCTGCAGTTGTATTTTGGGTTCTGGTTGTTCACAACAGTTTGAGTTTTCATCTTGATGCTGTGGCCATGGTCAGAGGTCACTTCCAGCTGGAAACACACATCATCATCATAGACAGGCCTCCACAGTCTAAATAAAGTTTAATGTAAAAGAAAATCCGTCTGCATTTAGACCTATCTCACACACCAACACTGGACAGGACAGTTGGTGTTTCTTACCTTCACGTAGGAGTCACATGACCTCTGGGATTTTCCCATCAGCCCTCGGGCCTCATGGACTACAGACAGAGAAAAGAAAACAGTAGACCGAGGAGGCTAAAAGGCTAAAAGTGAGGAAGGTAGCAGGAGAATTAGGGACTGGGGAGGGAAAGAAGGAGACACTCATGTCCTACAGTGAAACTGTGAGAACAAAGACTTTAAATGTGATCCAATATATCCAAGGACGGAGACAGGTACCTAAAATCTACACAAGAACTCCCAGGACCTCCACAAAACCCCAAGAATTTCTTCAAGGACCCCCTGGAGGCCCATATTGTTTAAACCTGTGGTGTTTAACACGACTCTGCTTCCTCCCACTGACCGGCTGATGAACTACATGTCAGTCAGGTTGTCTGATCGATATCTGAACACTGATGGGATTATTGATCAGACAGAATATGACTGAACTAAACTAAACCAGCAGACAGTAGTATGATGACCAGAGAAACAGGAACTGACAGAAACTACAGAATCCAACTCGCTGCAAACCAGGGCATGATTTATAGATAAAAACCTTTCCTGAGTGATTTCATTTATTGATTATTATTATGTTATTGTTAGTACAATTGTTATCATTGTTTGCTATTAATTATTGTCCTGCTGACATGCAGCTGTTTTGATCATGTGATGTGAAAGGTTCTCCTCTGATTGGCTACTGCACTTACTGTGAATGATTATTTGTCCCACCCCTGGAGTGACTGTTAGTCGTAACTGACCTATAAAGAGGGAGAGAGATCGACAGCTCCATTCAGCCAGTGACTTCAGACCAATGACCAGCTGATTATATTGATCAGTGATTAGTTTGTAATTGGTTCATTAATTCACTGATCAGTAAACAAATTGATTATTGATCTACCTCTCCCTCTGAACACAGACGGGTGGATCTTCCTCCTCTTTCTGATTCTTGGTGGCCCCCTCTCTCCTCTTGGGGACTCTGAACCTGGGACTCTCTTAGACTTCCTGCTGCTAGTGGTGGTCCTGGTCACTGAGGACAGATGTGAGGTCACACCTGCAGTCTTCAGTGAGCTTGCTGTAGACCTGGACCTGACCTGACAAATCAGTATATGGTTCAGGATGAGTTCATATCATGTTCATATCCATGTTTCTTTAACAAACCTTAGATATGGACTTTGATCTGATCCTGGTCTGTCCGTCATGAGTCAGGCTCCTCTGGTCAAGCTGGGTCTCAGTGGATCCTGTATCAGTCCCATCTGTGAGACTCAAACCCTGAGTCAGTTCAGACTTTCTGAGCTCCACAGTTGGGACTGCAGTCTGGATTCTGGTCTTCCTGATCAGGGCCACTCTGACTTCTGGTCTACTGGACCGGATCTGACTACAAGACCTTAATTGAGATCCAAATGCAGGCTCAGTACTAGTCCAGACTGTAGTCCTAGTTCTGGTTCCAGACCGTGAAAATCTGCAGAGACAGAAGCACAACACGTGAATGTCGGGGTAGGAACCAAAGTGCAGACCCATGACTCAGATTCAGAGACATTCAGTTTTATTTAATATGAAGGCAGTGAGGTAACAAAGAAGCAGGAGCTCAACCTGACAGGCCAAAGTAGAAACTGAAGTAAAGTGAAACTGAGGGTCAGGGAGCAGTCAAACTAACACAAATGTGAAGACAAGGAGAAACCCAGGACAGGAAGAGATGACAAGCAGCAAAAACAGAGTTCTCAGACAAAGCATGGAAAATGTCACAAACCTAGCAGAGTTCCAACACAAGGGGCAGCTGAGGCAAAGAAGCCAGTCCAGAGGGGGAGTCAGTAGTCACAGGTGCAGGAGACAGGAGTAGCTGAGTCAATCCAGACGATGAACACAGGTGAGGCAAAGACAACACAAGCGTGGACAGTGTACACAAGCCAAATGCAGGGGAGGTTTAGAAGGCATAGCAATCACACGAACTAGCAGGGTGTGAAGAACAGTGATAGCAAGCAGATGACAGGGGCAACGAGGAGCGGAGACAAAATGAACCAGCAACCAGACTGAGGGAAGAGAGGAGAATATATAGGGATACCACCAGGGGATAATGATGAACAGATAGAAACAATGAATGGTGACTGTGACTGGAGTGAAGCTGGGGCAAGTGAGATAACATAGTACAGGAAGTCTAACCAAAATAAAAGCACAAAACAGGAAGCAAGTCCACAAACCATAACAGTGAACCCCAGAGTCTAAATGTGGAGTTTTTGATCAGTGATCAATAATGACCCTGATTACTACTCTGAAATAACAGAATGAATTCAGTTAATATTGATAACTGATTATTTCACTTAATGACTCCATTACTGTTCTAGTCTCTGGTCTCACCTTCTGGATTCTGGATTCAAGTTCTGCGTTCTGGTGTACCTCTGCAGTTCTTCTTCTGAATTTCTGTTCTCCTTAAAGCCTCTACTTGTCCTTCTCCTCTTCATCGCCTCCACCTCCTCCTCCTCCTCTCTGTACTTCCTCTTACAGGCTGAAAGCTGACAGGTGACCTCCCCATGCAGCCGGACATCAGCTCCACCACAGGGCCTATGAGCGGAGAGCAGGTATATGTGTGATTCCACCAGCAGGGGGCACCACAGCAGTTTTCATTTTAGACCAGTTTCTGCTGTGGTCCTTGAAAAATGCTCTGAGTCCACAACTGAACCTCGTACAAGCTTCACAAGAGCTCCTGGTTTGGTTTCTGGAACTTTTATTTGTTATCAAAATGTAAACGCGGAGTTTCAAGCGTGGCTTGTAACAGTGGGCTGTAGAACTAAAGTAGTGGAAGTGAAGCTCATCACAATGATTGAAGCTAACGAGTAACAGATTAACTGAATAGTTCTGGGAACCACCACACTGCTCCTCCTGGGAACTGCAGCTCTTTAAAACTGACTATGGTTCATGTCTTTCAGGGAAGTCGAGCAGGTTTGTAACAGGAAAACACAAGCGCTGCCCATGAACATGATCTAAAATCAAGTTCGTGGAAAAAGGAAAAAATGTTGATCCATCGGTTTTCTTGGGAAGCTGGGATTCTTCTGCATTAAACACAATTTCTTTGTAGATGACCATGTTTACTTCTCACTTCCTCACGCTGGCACAGAATAAATCTACGGCAACAGTGACAATGATCCGAGGAAAAAGGTGAAAAGCTTTTTGGTAAAAACAGCTGAAGAAGCTATAAATGTTTTTTTATTGTTTTATTAAAATATTTCTCAGATAGTTTTCAATCTGCTTGTTTTTTATTTCAGTAAAGATACCTGAAACTGAAGATTAGTATTAAACTATGGAAGTGATCAATCGATCTATCAATAACCCAGAGCTCATGTTAAGCTGCTCTGATTTTTACCCCTTGGATTCAGTGGGTTCTTCTGCAGGTACTGATTGTCAATGTGGGTCAGACAGAACTTCAACCAGAAAAACAAAAACAACTTTAAAAAAACAAAAATATGTCTTGTCTTCTATTTTTTTTTCTATTTTCTGGTAAATAATCAGTTTCAGCTTCAAAAATCCTTCACTTTGAACTAGAGGTCGGATTTCAGAAAGGAATAATCTGCATTTCAGGCAGAAGCTAATGTCCAGTATCTCAGTTCAATGTCTCGTTTTTACAAACTCACAACATGAAGCCCAGTTTCACTGGCAAAGTAAACGACTTAGTTTAGATCTGATATTTACAGATCAAACTTGGATTCATATAAAAATCCTGAAAGTTCAGAAACGTTCAGGTTTAGTCTTACCGTTTTCTGCTGCAGAGGGATGCTGCTTCCATCACTGAGATCCAAACTAACCAGCTAACTAGCCTGTGTGTGCAACAGTTTTCTCCTTCTGTTCAGTTTGTTTCTTCAAATTTTCCCTCTGAAGGAAAAAAATTCAAACCAGCAGAAGAGTTTCATCCTGCCAAGTTAAAACAGAAACACACTGGTTTCCTGTCTGCACTGTCAGAATAAAAGTGTTTTCACATAAAATTAAAACAACTTTTTATGACGATGAAACAAAAAGTCACACACGGAAAAGTTGTCAATATCTTCAACAGTCATCAAGACAGGCTGAACTGTGTAACATGATTAAAAGCTCCAGATCGGCTACTAATGGACCTTTCGTGGTGAGATGAACCGTCAGTGTCAAACCTGCTTTTAAACTTTCAGCAGCTGGTGCAGAAAATCTTCAGTAATGACAGTTCACATCAGCGATTAGAAAGCAAAGGCATTCAAAAAAGTGAACCAGTCAACCAAAGACAGCAATGTTATCAATCAGTTGGGGTCAACAACGAAACCTGTATGTCATTAATCTAACAGGAAGTCAGCTAGCTCCATTTCAGGAAACTAAACTTACAGTTCTGTTTTACCAGGCTTTTATTATGTAAAACGCTGCTTCAGTTCCTGCGTTGTTGACATCACATCAGTGTGTTTGACTCACGTTCTGCTGCTCAGCCAGAGGGAAGCAGTCCACATGTTTGTCATTAACAGAGGAGGAACAATAGCTCATCTCCACAGCAACAGACGAAACTCCAGCCAGGAATCGGACAATTTAACGACAAGTTGTTTCCTGGTTGCTGGTAAAATTAAACCCAAGGGCAAAATGAACTGAAACAGTGTGATCAGTTTCTGTTTCAGGTTAGAGGACATCTGTAAAGACAAAAAGTAAAATAGATATTTTCTAAAATTAATGTTACCTTTTCATGTTTATCATGTTTTGTTAGGACATAAAAGTTTTTAATGCATACATCCTTAAACATATGGATGTATATATTTATAGCTTTTACTGCTTGTATGTTTTGTCTTACAACACTTTGATGTACAAAAATAATTTTTTTTTATATCATGCCCAGTTTGGTCATAATAGATCCATCCATGTGTGCATGTGTTGAACAAAACCAGCTCAGTGCAGAAGAAAGTACAACAGGGTGAAGGGTCATTATGTCGGCAGACAATGGAGACCTCTCCTTTCTGCTGATTTCCATTATTGATTGATCTGCATGTATTTCGTTGAATAATTTTGTCTATAAAATGACAACAAAGTGTGAGAGTACTCAATAAAAATTTCCACAAACATACTGAAGATTTTCGGTTCATTTTCACGTGTGACAAACTTATTTGGTCATCAAAATATGAACAAACCAATTTTGTGTGGATCCACTAATTGACTGATTGTTGCAGCTCAGAGTGTGATCAAATGAAAACTGGAGCTCAGGGCCACGTGGTTTTGTTTTATTCAGTGTTTGATCTGCGTGTTGTCAGATGGTGTCGGTGTGTTCGATGTAACAGACCACACTAAATCCGACCAGATTATCACCTCGTGTCCTGGCGCAGCAGATGGTCTTTGTCTCAGGAGCTGAATGCATCCAGCTTTACACTGAAATAAAGTTTCATTTTTCTTTTTCTTCAGCAGACGTTTGTGGTTGTCTGCAGCCAGAAGACAGCCAGGTACCTTTATTGATTATTTATAGCAATGATCAGTAAGTGTTGGCTCAAAAAGCGACAGCTGCTACAGAAACAGAAAAAGCTCTGTGCTTAAATCCACCAAACCTGACGTTGCTCATGTTCTTGTTTTTATCTGAATAACAAAAAGGCAACTTGATTCAGCTGGAGGCATCGACTGTAAATCACTGCCATCAACTGGTCCAAACACTTTACCGTTTGCTTTTAATATCTTTGAATATTGTTGCATAAATTATCTGCTCTGTTCTTTCGGCTGTGTATGAAATCTGCTGCTTTACTAACAAAGCTTATTAAAAAAAAAAATCGGGAAAATGCTAAATTTGTTGGCGATAAACATTGGTTGATTTAATTTAAACAGTTTATCTTGGTCTATTTGTGCTCAGAGGTCAGGAGGTTACTACCACCAGATTAAAGAAGAACTTGCGTTTGTAGACTGTTTCTGTCCTGAACAGGTTGTAGATGTCACAGAGGACCATTTAAAATCTCATCAGATTAAAGTAGGTTGAAACAACAGATGCTGAGAATCGCAGAAGAACCGATGAGCTGCTCAGATTTACACCTGACATTAAACTGGTCACAGATCGCACTGGATCTCTGTTCAGGAAAACACAACAACAACAACAACAACAACAACAATAACACCACTCTTAGATCCTCAGGAAGCTGCAGGAGTCTGTGGAAGTTAAAGGCTCACTACCAAAAAGTTCTAGAGGTTAAAGATGTCCATGTTCAGATTCAAGGAGTCCTTGAGGAATCTCTGAAGGCCATTGGAGAGATTCTGAGGGTCCTGGAGAATGTTCTAGAAGTTCTTGAGGAAGTTACCTAGGTCCAGAGCTGTTAAGACAATCACAAGAAAAAGTCATGGTGCTGTTTGCAGTTTCCTGGTTTTCTGCATAAATTGGTCATGAAATACAATCTGGTCTTGACCAAAGTCCTAAATATCAACAAACAATATTTCTAAGCTGATAAAACACAAACAGTCCTGATCTTTCACATCCTTATTGAACACACCCATTAAACATACACAGTGATGGTGGCCAAAGCCACGGCAGCACCAGGCTTCTGATGTTACTAAAGGTCAACTGGAGTCAGATATTGGCAAACCTGGAGTCCAGTCAATGAAACGAAAACGGAGGAGTGATTTGGAATAGAGACGGTGTCAGTGGCCTGTGACCTGTCTGTAACCTGTCCGTCTGTGTCCTATCTCACCTGTCTGCCTGTGCAAATATTAATCTGAACTCTCTGTTGTCATGTAACATGGGTGGAGTATCCTCCTCATCCTCACAGTTGATGTGAGCCAGGCCTCGTGAAAAAGAGATCTCAGAAGACCTACAACCAAGCGTTGTAGGTTTCCAGTGTCGCTGGAAAGGGTCACAGAGTCAAAGACTTTAGATATTCACCAGTCCACAGTCAGACATAGTGTCTATAAACAGAGACAATGTGGTGCTGTGGCTACTCTCCATAGAAGTGGGCACCCAGCCAGGATCAGTAACGAGGTGGATTAACAGAGAGAAGTTCAGCAAAGTTTCAAATGTCACTGAGTAGATCCTACATTGTCTTCAAAGAGTCTAGAGGTCTTCCAGGAGGATTTAGGGGTAATAAGGGGTTGTATGAGTAACTTGAGGATGTTCTATGGGTACACTGACTGGTTCTTCAGGACCTTGATGAGGTTCTTGGGGGTCCTTGAGAAAGTCTACAGTAAATGCAACAGTAATGTCAGACTGTTTGTGTTTCAGGATGTCACTGAATGATCGGTGGACCATCATGAATAACAGCAGCTCGGAGCTCGACAGCAAACGACCAAGCAAACAGAAGGTAACACCTGGCAGGTGGTCATGTCCACTCTGATGTCATGAGTTTTGTGGCAGATTCTAATTGGACAATGTGGACTAGGGTTTCCCTAAAGACAAACATTGTTTTAAGACAGTTTTAGCATTAGCATTAGCTCTGTGCAGCTCAGAGTAGCTGTCTGCTGGTTTGGTTATTTACAGTTCCTCCTGTAAAGGTCAGGGTCAAACAAAAACTTAATTATCATTTTGTTTCCCAACATTAAGGTCTAAATGATGTTTCAAAGTTTTACAAAAAGAGATACACTCTGAAGCTTTTTAAATTTATTTTGTCAAATGTAAAACAAGTTAAATACAGAAATACTGAATCTACAAACACTTATTGTATCTAATGTCCACCATGTGCAGAATATGAACTCTCTCAAAATTGTGCAGGAAGATTTGAGCTCATCACCATTGACTGGAAACTGTACAGAAAGGGTCAGAGACTCACAACACAGAGTTAATTTGTGCTAATCTGGAGTTAAACTGTCAGATCAAAGAGTGTCTAATCTGCACCAGCTGGCGCCATCACTTACATCTACAGATTAAATACCACAGGAGCAGACTTGTACTAAGGGAACATGTCCTTCTCATGTTTTAACATCTTACTTTGTCAGGCCCCCCAACCCAGAACCCCACCCCAGTCAGGTAGATGGCGCTATAGTGCTGATTGGTGGAGGCTTATAGAAATAGGGTTAGGGTTAGAACATAATGAACAACATGATTAGAACATAAACAAAGAGGTTACTGTAAAATTCATAGACTGTTTTCATGACACTAGTGAAGCTCCCAATAAAAAGTGTGCTGCACTGCAGTGGAAACAGTTTTCACATATGTTGCTTCAGTAAAAGTACTACTCATTTAATAAATACTCTGTTAAAAGTAAAATCATGAAATCAAATTGTAATGTAAGTAATGTGTGTGTATATGGCCTGTGTGGTCTCCCAGTGCTGATTTGGTAAGGGTTCGTTTTAGGCCAGTAGTGGCTATGGTTGAGTTAGGGGCAAGTGTCCTGGAAATGAGAGTCAATGTACGGTCCTCACAAGGAATGAAAACCTGTGTGTGTGTGTCCAGAGATGCTGCCACTTCCTGTTATGGTCTGTTGTCGTGGTGGTCATCATAGTAGTCGCTGTCACGGCCACAGTCACCATCCTGTATCTAAACCAGTATCCTCTGCCCTTCATCAGCAGGTAAACACACCTGTCAGTCTCTGTCCTGTCTCACCTGTCTGCCTGTGACCTGTCTGTAACCTGTCTGTCTGTGACCAGTCTGTAACCTGTCCGTCTGTGTCCTGTCTCACCTGTGACCTGTCTGTCCTGTGTCCTGTCTCATTTGTCTGCCTGTGTCCTGTCTGTAACCTGTCCATCTGTGTCCTGTCTCACTTGTCTGCCTGTGACCTGTGCCACCTGTGACCTGTCTGCCTGTGCAAATATTAATCTGAACTCTCTGTTGTCATGTAACAGGGGTGGAGTATCCTCCTCATCCTCACCTGTAATCTCAACCAATCCCAAAGAGTCTGGCGCTTTGGTGACCGTGTCTCGTGTCACTGCTGGAGAACCAGTCAGCATCTTTCTGGACCCAAACTGTCCAGATTACAGTGAACACTTCCTGCGGTGGGAGGCACTGCAGAGCTCTGTGCTGCGAGCACTGACTAATTACAATGCAGATGACTGGCAGGAGAGGGGATTGGTCCAGAAGGTGGCAGAGGAGCTGAAGGTGCTGGTAGGTCATGCCCACAGCCTGAGGCTGGAAGCTGATTCCCTGAAAAGAGGTCAAGGTATTCTGGACCAACGGCTGAATGGACTGCAGAGCGAGCAGAGCCACATCATCCAGGTGTGTCTGTTTATTATAAAAAACACGACATGTATAATGAAATACAACTGAAATTTTCAATAATAAAAAGTGTAACCAGCACAGAGAGCAGAGCCTCTTCATACAGGTGGCATACAAGGTAATTTATACTGCATAAAAGAAGTAATTGTCTGTACCTGTCTAGGTATTGTCTGACAGTCCCTCAGGTGTGTTGAATTTGGCTGCAGTTTTCAGCGATTCTCTGCTCAGCCTGAAGAGAGAGATAGAGAGTCTGAGGAGAATGAAGGGTGACCTGCAGAAAGATGATCACTTCAAAGGTAGCGCACACACACACACACACACACACACACACACACACCCTTGTAGTTGTCACTTGCCCTAGACATACATGGATTTCCAGGAGACTTACCCTAACCTTAACCAGAACTGCTACTGGCCTAACTTTAACTCTTCTCCTAACACTTAACCAAAGCCAACATGCACTGTCCTTATACACTATCATTTTTGTAAAAGTTGACATATTAGTCATGGGGCCTAGTTTCCAGTCCCCATAAATGACGTCTGGTCCCCACAAAGCAGTGTGCTCCCAGTATTCTGTCCCTACAGGTATATATAAACAAGGCCACACATAGGAGAATGCATGCACTTTTTAATGCCATAGAAGAACATTTTAAATCATTTACAGCATTTTTACAATATAAACATCAATCAATGCAGCACAGACTGATTCAACACACTGATAATTGGTTTACTGTGAATATATTAAAGCAACATGAACTAATGCTGATGTCCACTGGGGGCAGTAGAGCTCCGCTCTATCACCTCAGCAGTGCACCTGAACACTTTGGCCACAAGGGGGCTCACATACAGTCAGCAGCCTTCCCAGCACTCACAGTGGGTAACAATTTTTTTTAAAAAGTTCCTGTGTCCAAATTATGAAATGTATCAGCACCAAAATCTAATCAGTCGCTCTGTGGGCTGTATCCTACCGCTCCACCACATTTTATTAAAATCCATTATTTACTTTTTGAATTATGCTGTTAACAAACAAACCCACAAATTCCAACAAAAACATAACCCCCACCATTGGTTGAGGTAGCTATAATACACTTCAGAGCGATTTGTTCTCTCTCTGAGTGACTTTGAATGTCTCTCACCCCCAGCGATCAGACCCAGACACTGCAGTGATGTCATGGCATCTGGTGTCTCTCAGGATGGAGTTTATTCTGTGTTCCCAACTCACACCCCCAACGGCTTCATGGTCTACTGTGACATGGCCACAGACGGAGGCGGCTGGACGGTACAGACACATGGTTTAGTCTTGATCAGACTGTTTGATGGCACTCGACAGGGTTGTATTTTTGCAGATGTGAAACAGATGTGACAGCAGAGGATGGGATGCATGAATTGATGAAACAGAAATTAAAAGACAAAATAACACTGGATGTTAAAGATTAAATGATAGACAAATTAGACTTCATGAATTGTTTAATAACTTGAATTCATCAGATGTTTGTTTTCTAAATCATCTGTTCATCAATCAATTCAGGATGACTTACTGAGGATGCAGGTTCTCACAACTATAGAGAAGGCCAATGTGTGTTTCTCATGTTGTGGGGGCCCCCTTTGGGAACAAAAACAGGTCCCCGCAATGTAAACAGTCTAGTTCTAAGGTAAAGACTTGGCTTAAGTTCGGGGTAAGTTCAGTCCGAGGTTAACGGTTAAGTAGGTAGTGCATATGGTCACAGGTGAGCAGGAAGTGATGGAGACACTGTGCACAGGTGATCCAGAGGAGGGTGGACGGCTCAGTGAATTTCTTCCGAGGATGGGAGGCGTACAGAGATGGCTTTGGACTAACGACAGGAGAGCACTGGCTGGGTGAGACACACACACAGCCATGCTGTCAGCGCCCCCCGCAGGCTGTGAAGCTTATTACACACAAAAACCAACAGCATCCTCATCTGGCTGTGAACAGGTGAAGTTTGTCCTGGATGACACTACTGGAAGCATCGTTAACATGTGAAAGGGAGCAGAAATCAGGATGCTTAGATCTGAACTGTCAAAGGATGTCACCATTCCCCTGAAAGTTTATTAATACATCTTAGTTTAGTTTAACATGAAACCAGTGCATTGCGCACAACCACATGGGAGAACAAATCTGTCAATTGCTCTGTGGATCCACATCCAACCATCAGTACTGGTCTTCAGTGTAGAGACATGAGCCTTTCATAACATGGACCAGAACCACAATCTGGTTTCCAGGTGCAGATGTTGTCAAAAAACAGCAGAAGTAGATGTCAAGAATCAGATTTGTCTCAGAAATCCCACATTTATACCCGTCTGTCTCTCTCCACCTGCGCCCCCCCATGCCGTCTGTCTCTCTCTCTCTACC